AATTTAGTAAAAAGTTAGATAAAAATAAGTGTAAAATTACTACCAACAATTAAAAGTTGTATAAAATATAAAGTAATTTTTTTAATGATCAAAATGATATTCATTAGTAATAGCCTATAAAAAAATGTAGCTCAAGAATTGCTAAAAATAAATATTACAAATTGTATATACATATGTCATAAATAATTTGTATATAATAAATATTTCTAATATTTTTTCTAAGTAAAAAGATTTGTTTAAATATTACATTGAAATAAATCAGTAAAATAATTAAATATTTTGTTGTTTTCATTAACAATTTGTAAAGCTGAAGACTTAATTTCTGAACCATATTTCATACAGGAAAATAAATCATTTTTAATATATATTTTTAGTAAACATTATATTTGGCTATATATTGGCAATCAGCAGTATATCATATGTATATATAATATAATATTTCTATATACAGCGAAAGCTTGTTTTTAAGCTCAAGGCGCACTAGTTTCGCTCAGTGTAACTGAGCATCAGAGACTGGCGGGGTGCCCAAATGCCAAATGTGTTGCATGCTGTGCGTGTTGTCCCATGCTTATCTGTGCTGTGGGTGGTGCGAGTGGGGCTGGCCGCTGTTGCTTGGTGGTTACAGTGGCTTTGGCCTGAAGTGTTGCAAAAAATAAAAAAAAAACACCACACACAAAAAAGAGAAAAACGGGTTAATCAGCGCAATTAGGGTCAAAAACACGTTGGCGTCAACAACATGCCACCATGTGGCATCTTCAAGCTGAGTGTGCATGTGTGTGTGTATGTGTGTGTCTGCATTCAAATTCACAGAAATCGCGCATACGCTGCGTAAGCCCTGCCATTAGATATTGCAAGCAAAGTTCTGACTACCCGCTGTGAGCGCTGTGTGTGTGTGTGCGTATATATATATAGGTGCGTGTGTGTGCGTGTATAATTTTGATAAAGGTTCCACAAAAGCCTGAACTGCGCCGACGCCGAAGCACGAATTTGTTTCGTTTAAGCCGCCTGCTGTTGCTGCGACTGCGAAAAGCGACGCTCAATCATGCTCTCTCTTTCTATCCCTCTCTCTCTCTTTCTCTCCGTGTGTGTGTGTGTGCGTGTGCGTGTGTATGCGCCTATAAGATAAAAGCGCCTTGCTATGAAAATCTTTAGATTGCCGCCGACCAGCGAACGGCTCGCATTCACGTCTAGCTAACAGAAGCTCCAAGCGGTACGGTAGTTAGTTCAGTTGTATACAATCTAGAAAGTTATATATATAATATAACTACAAACATATCTGTATAAGCCCAGTTATGTGCATAACTCCAAGCTCAAGCCCTGCGCTTTAAGTAAAAAGATAAATAAATCACAAAGCAACAAAACTTGTTTAAGCTTAACGAAATTAAAACGTCTACAAAAATTGCTCATAAAATAAACTAAAAACTTAAAGTAATTAATATTATTAAAATATAAACAGATAACGTGAAATTCGAAACGCTCGTAAACCATTTGCTGTAACTATTGACAGAAGTGTTATTCAACTACTCGACTTTTCCCTCAGCAACGCCCAGCAATTAAAGAAGAACAGATATCGATATATATATAGAGTATATAAATATCTATTATAATTAAAGTTCATATATAGTATGTATGCCAGAAGCTGTGCAAATCAATTTCGCGTTTCGTAGGCAAAGTGCTTCAAGTTCAATTGATATGTCAATGCCAAGCGCTCGAATCATAGCTGAAATCAGTGCAGTAAATTGCGAAGCGTTAACGGTTATGCAATTTGAATCGGTTGTATTATTTCAATAGCAAACTTTAAATGTTTCAAGTTCATGTAATTGAACATTTATGACAATTTCAGCTGCATGCATGCATAAATATCATTTAGCTAATCTTCGCTTTGGCATTACTAAGCACTTCCGAATCGGTTCATTTTTTGATTTATCGAATTCAATTAAAAAACCCTGAGGCTGAAAGTGAATCTGCTGAATACCTAAAGCTTTTGGATGTGACTTTCAGCTTAAATGGTTATATATCGGTTATGGTTTTTTTTTTTTTTTTTTTTTTTTTTTGTTTTTTTTTTTTTTTGCATATGGCGTATAGTTTATATAGTAAATATTCACTTGTGTGTATATTCGTATATAAATCTAATGGCTTAAAATATTTTTTGAAGTGGTTTAATCGGATATAAACGGTTCAGGTCAAAATATAAAGATCCATAGTTTTTCATAATATTATGTCTACTTAAATGTTATTAAATTTAATATATTATTCTAATATATTTTTGAAGAAATTCCACTATTAGAAATCCTTCAAACGGTTATGTATCGGTTATTAACACAATCAATAAAAAATTAATTTAAAAAGTGTTTGTTGAACTTGGTCTCTAAAATAAATAATTAATAAAATTATTATAAATTCTTACAATAAATATGAAATATATATCTTTAATGTACATATTTATGTTAATATATCTATTGAATACTTTCGCGTGAATTAGAAAAGCTGATTTTGTTGTTGATGTCTCCAATTTAATATAGGCTTTGTTGTCTATATTTATATATTATTTTTATTTTGATACTTATATCTTAAGTTCATGTTACAGTGCCCCAAGTAGCTTCAGAGTTTGTATAGTCTACTTAAAACATTTTCAAGTACAACTCTAAAATTCTATAATACATTGAAATTCTTGTTTGCTTTTTATTAATATCTAATCAATTAGACTCATCCTAAGCTTTATTTGTAAGGGCAATAGTTTCTATAAAGTGTGGGACATTGTTGCTTTACTATGCTCAAGCTCGTATAAAAATATGACATATTTGTTAATCCGTTTCCTAAAGTTTTCTCTTAGCAGTGCTTCTCATGGGCAGGTATGATCCCGTCGTATATACCCGACAGCAGCAAACTGTTTAATTTATAATTGATTTCAGAGAAAACGCCACACAGAATTGAAATGCTTTCAATGTTTTGTACATGCAGCGCCCAATCCATGCATCAATCATGCTGTCAATTCTTGACTTTCGAATCAACTTTCGACATGTTCTCAATGCATAAACTGAGCGCGGCTTCCTCCCTCATAGGTGCAGATAGTCGGGAATATGTTAATATGGGGGTTCAATGGCCGCGCCCACAGTCAGCTTTTGCATATGTTTAATAAACACACACCCACACACACATAGACACCTACACACCCATACACACACACAAATAACTACACACGCATAGCTTTAATTCTGATTGAGAAAAAAACGAGTTGTAAGTTCTCATCTGGTTTATCCAGTTACTGTTCTTTCACACTCTGTGTGTGTGTGTGTGTGTGTGTGTGTGTGTGTGTGTGTGTGTGTGTGTGTTTGGGAGAGGGACTAAGAGAGAGATAGAGATGCTCTCTAAATGATCTCTGGCAGCTACATATGTCACACCCATTGGGTGTTACAGTCTTTAGAATCAGTTCCGAATCAGATGCAAACACCTGACGCGAAGCACCTCACATTTTGCACACAATCAGCATAATATTGCTACAAAATAATAACAAATGAGCGTCAGGGCAGCGCAAAACAGCAAACACGATATAAAGCGAAATGTTCAATAAAAATAAAAATTATTCAAGTTTCATTGGCCCAGACCTTAATACGTGTGCGGCATGGCAAAGATGCCGAACATCACTAGCAACCCAGACAAAATTAAATAAATAAATAAAAACAAAATAAAATAAAATAAATAAAAAACAAAATAAAATAAAATACAATTAAATACTTAGCATTACATTAGTCATATCACATTTTAAATGCCCTTCGGCTACACTTAATTTCATTGCGAATTACAAGAAGCTTTAAGAGAACTTGCAAAACTAGAACAAAGGTTGCTCTTTTATTTTAGTTAACACTAAATATAAATAATTGATTTGCTTGCGGCTCAGTTGTGGCTATAATCAAATTCGAAGGTTGTATACCCTTTTAGATATAGGGCTTTTGTCTAATGCAGTGCAGGCATATAACATAGAGAATCTTAACTCTAGAATAAGAACATTAAAATTGATGTGTGTCTGTATTTAAGAAGGTTTTTCATCGAGGTTTTCGCCCTTGACATATACGAAGCTAAGGAGTGTGAGAATGAGACAGAAGAAGACGGAGAAAGAAGGAAAAAGATGAGAGAAAAGAAAACAATATGGATAGAAACTTAGAGATGAAATAGAGGAAAAAAGAAAGAGTAAAGATGCGGCAAAGAAAGCTTGGGAGAGATATGAGAGATATGTATATAGGGATCTTAAGAAAGAGAGATGAAGAGAAAGAGAGATAAAGGGAGACAAAGAAGTAGAGAAAATCATATAAACATAATTTAAGATAGAGAGAGGGCGATTGACAGATAGAAAGACAGAGAAAGGAAGGCTGAGAAACATATTACAACTATATCAATAGGCCTACTGGTATTCAGATGAGGAGTATAAGTGCATACTTTATGCTTTATAACTTGATTAGACTGTTACGGAATTTTATATCCATGAATTTTATATACTGAAGTCCTGATCTAAAGTGATTCATTTTCACAACGTATTACAAATGCATTAAACACTCAGTATACCCTGCACTCAATAGTTATGGTGTTAAGCGTTAGTTGGTGTTGATTGCGTTCCGTTTGGCTTGTTTTATAAATTGATTTAAGCTTCGATACCGCAAGTGATTTAGTTAATTGCTCCATTCCGCTCCACATTAGCAGCGCGTTGATTGATGTTTGTTTATAAATGTTTTTACCCTCTCTTGTTGTTGTTGTTGTTGTTGCTCCGCAGTTTTAACATGCGGCTGCTTCTACTGCTCGTGGCCAGTTGGGCGGTGCTGGGCTTGACCCTGGCCGACTCGAGCTATAACCATTTTCGGCTGCCCACGGCGCTGCGGCCCCAGAAGTACAATTTACGTGTCTTGACGCACTTTGAAGACCCGGACAACCTGCGTTTCGAGGGCGATGTGAAAATCCTGTTCAAGGTGCTGGAAAACGCAAATAACATCACGTTGCACGCGAAGAACTTGACGATCGACGAGTCGCTCATTACACTGCGCGACACATCGAGTGCCAACAAAAAGAACTGCGTCTCCGGCACGGAGGTGAATGCGGTCCATGATTTCTATGTGATGCGCACCTGCGAGGAGCTCGTGGCCGGAGATGTCTACGAGCTGACCATGCCATTCGCCGCCGAGCTCAACCGTCAGCTGGAGGGCTACTACAGAAGCTCCTACATTGATCCCGTTACGAACAAGTCCCGGTAAGAGACCCGCAAAGGAAAGAAATATGGGAATGATCTTAGGAAAATGGTCTTTAGAAAATATTACTTAAGGGAATTACCAGGGAATATATGTAGAACTATTTACGCACCGGACAGCCGACGCACGGATAGAGGGACGATCAGGTGGAGGATCGGACGGACAGGCAGGCAGAAAGACGAACGTGCGGAGAGACATAAGAACGCACGGACAAAAGGACAGGCACTCTGACACACAGGATGCACGGACAAAAGGGCGGATAGACGGACGGGTACACAGACGGACAAAAAAGCAGCAAGATAAGGACTGTACAGAACCTAAATAAATTTGGATACTCTGCATAATTTATGTTAATAAGTTATGTTAATGGTATGTTAAATTTCAGAAAATCGAAATAATTCAATTGACACTACTATAGCTTAATGACAAAGACATTGCCGCAATAATTCACAGTTATTTAGCTACACGAAAGCAATGCCTATGTTCTTATGTATTTTTCAAAATATTCTCTTACAATATCTCAAAATTCTCACTCAGCTGGCTGTCCATAACACAGTTTGAGCCAGCGTCTGCGCGCTTGGCCTTCCCCTGCTTCGATGAGCCGGATTACAAGGCGCCTTTTGTGGTTACACTTGGCTACCACAAGCGCTTCAACGGACTGAGCAACATGCCCGTCAAGGAGATAAAGCCCAAGTAAGACCGGTTGGCCAGTTGACAGACGGTTAGACTATATATAGAATTGTACGATATAATTTGCAGCGAACAAATTGCGGATTATATTTGGTGTGAGTTCGAGGAGTCGGTGCCCATGTCCACCTACTTGGTAGCCTATTCGGTCAATGACTTCTCCCACAAGCCCTCCACGCTGCCGAACAGCACGCTGTTCCGCACCTGGGCCCGGCCAAACGCCATCGAGCAGTGCGACTATGCGGCCGAGGTGGGACCCAAGGTGCTGCAGTACTACGAGGATCTGTTTGGCATTAAGTTTCCGCTGCCGAAGATCGATCAGATAGCCATACCGGATTTCAGTGCAGGGGCTATGGAGAACTGGGGTCTGGTCACGTACAGGGAGATCGCTCTGCTCTATTCGGCTCAGCACTCGTCGCTGGCGGACAAGCAGCGCGTTGCCTCGATCATTGCCCATGAGTTGGCCCACCAGTGGTTCGGCAATCTGGTCACGATGAAGTGGTGGACGGATCTGTGGCTGAACGAGGGATTCGCCACATATGTGGCCAGCTTGGGTGTGGACAAAATCAATCCCGAGTGGCGTTCCATGGCACAGGAGTCGCTCAGTAATCTGCTGGTCATCTTCAGGAAGGACGCACTAGAGACGAGCCATCCCATATCGCGACCCATTGAGCTGGTTACTGAGATCCAGGAGAGCTTCGACCAGATCTCATATCAGAAGGGCTCCACAGTGCTGCGCATGATGCACATGTTCTTGGGCGACGAGTCCTTCCGCTCGGGCATACAAAACTATCTGCAAAAGTTCTCCTACGGCAATGCCGAGCAGGATAATCTCTGGGAATCTCTGACAGAAGCGGCCCACAAGTTCAGGGCACTGCCCAAGAGCTACGACATCAAGCGCATTATGGACTCCTGGACTCTGCAGACGGGGTGAGTGCTCATACACCAAAATTTTTGACTGACTAGACGAATCTCTAATCTGTAAACCCTTCACAGCTATCCCATTATCAACATCACCCGCGACTACTCAGCTGGCAGTGCCAAGCTCAGCCAGGAGCGTTATCTGCTGAACACTCAGATCTCACGGGCACAGCGAGGCGGCTGCTGGTGGGTGCCACTCAGCTATACCACCCAGGGGGAGCGCGACTTTACGAACACGGCGCCCAAGACCTGGATGGAGTGCGGCAGCTCCGGCGAAGTGCTGCCCAAGACGATTACGGGACTGCCCGGCAAGGATCAGTGGATCATATTCAATACCCAGATGTCGACGCTGTACAAGGTCAACTATGACGAGCGCAACTGGAAACTCCTCATCGACACGCTCACCAATGGCGACTTCGAGAGCATTCATGTGATCAATCGCGCCCAGCTGATTGACGATGCCTTCTACCTGGCCTGGACGGGCGAGCAGAACTATGACATCGCCATGGAACTGCTGGAGTATATGAGACGCGAGCGCGAGTATCTGCCCTGGAAGTCGGCCTTTGAGAATTTGAAGCGCCTTAGGGGTATCATCAGACAAACGCCCAATCTGGAGTTCTTCAAGGTTAGTTGAGTTCCACGTATATTTCAAGACAAGATACACTCTTATCCTGCTACACACAAGACAACGTAACCCAGAGCTCTCATTCTAATTTTTATTTAAATTGCAAACATTATGCGGCCCGACACTAAATTCCCATGTCAAAGTTGTATTTTTTCGTAAGTTCGTTCTAGACCAGATCAAAACCTAGTCTCAAATTCATTTCGAATTCTTTTCGCTCTCAATCTCTTAAAGACTTTCTCGCTCTCTCTCTCTCTCGCTCTCTTTATCTCTGTTTCTATATTAAGTAAGATGTGGCAGTCGGTCAAGACCGTCTGCATAGTATTCGTTCACGTACATAGATTTTATATTAAAATTCTCTAGTTCTTCCAGTGCACAGAAATTAACTATGTTAGTATACAAAATACTATGCCTATAGCTATACATCGATTCCAGATTAAAATTCTCTAGTCCCTCCAGAGCACAGAAATTAACTATGTTGGTATAATAAATACTATGCCTTGGTCCATGATACATCGATTCCAGATTAAAATTCTCTAGTTCCTCCAGTGCACAGAAATTAACTATGTTGGTACAATAAATATTATGCCTTCTATTCTTAAAGTCATACGAAAGTCCATATCGGACATCTAAGTCTCTAGTCCCAGCATACACTCTTTTTGCTACGTGAACGAGTAGAGATGGATAAAAAAAACCCATTCGCATTATATGACATCCCTCTTCAACGTTTATTCTCAGCGTTATCTGCAAAAGCTAATCGAGCCCGTTTATGAGCATCTGAATGGCTTGAATGACACCTTCGCCAACATTGAGCAGCAGGACCAGGTGCTGCTCAAGACCATGGTGGCCACTTGGGCGTGCCAGTATCAGGTGGGCGACTGTGTGCCCAAGGCACTGAACTATTTTACGGCCTGGCGTAGCGAGCAGGATCCGGACAAACAGAATCCGGTGCCCATCAATTTGCGGCAAACGGTCTACTGCACCGCCATACGGCATGGCGACGATGGCGATTGGAATTTCCTGTGGATGCGCTACAATAACTCGAACGTGGCTGCCGAGAAGCGCACGATTATGTCGTCGCTGGGCTGCACGCGTGAGGTGTGGCTGCTGCAGCGCTACCTGGCACTCACCTTTGAGCCGAAGCAGGGCATACGCAAACAGGACTCGATGTGGGCCTTCCAGGCGGTGGCATACAATGAGATTGGCTTCCATTTGGCCCGAGATTACTTCATGAACAACGTGGACTTCATCTACAAATTGTAAGCGATTCTCTCGAATCAACATGTAATTATATTACTAACCATTTTTCCAACACAGCTACAGTCCCATTGTCAAGGACATGTCGCGGCTGTTGCCGCCCTTCTCGGAGCAGACCTTCCAGCAGAGCGATTTCGATGATTTCAGGAATTTCGTTACCGAGCACAGAAGTTCGCTGAAGGGACTGGAACAGGCCATACAGCAAACCCTAGAGACCATGCTCACCAATGTCCAATGGAAGGAACGCAACTATGACCAGGTCTCGGTCTCCATCAGGAGTTTACTTGACAAACCAACAGAATAAAACAAAAACTTAAAAAAAAAGAAAACAACATGAAATAGATGTGTTATACTCCACAGATAACGTCAAATAAATCATTTCGTGCACAAGCCCTCATCAGCTAAAAGAATATTAAAATAATTATATAATACCAAAATGTCAGTTGTTAATTATGTTTGGGTTCTTTAACAGCTAAGATTGTAGAGGTTAAAAATTAAAGCTAAAGATAAACAAGGAATTTCTTCCTCTAGTCGAGACTGCTCGACAACGAGATCCCCTGAACCCTTCGAGCAACTGATATTTCAATAAATATTCGCACATGGTGAGGGAGGGGGTGGGATCGAGAGGGGGAGAGAGAGACTAGCATAATAACTTTATTAGGAGTCGTGGGTAAATTACACAAAAATCGAAATTTTAAAGTGTAGACGATATAATAAAATAACCCATTTTCGATAAGGTTTTTATTCGATAATAAAATATCGGTAGTAGTTATCCATTTTTGGAGAAAAGCTCGATATGCGCATGATATACACGGGCCTAGGAATTTTCAGTCTCTAGCTCGTATATCTTCTGATTCAGCCCCTTCGCCCTGATCAAGAATATATATACTTTGTGGGGTCTGTCACGTCCCCTTCTGCACGTTACATACTTCTAACAAAACCATTATACCCTGATCTCCCATTGAAAATGGGTTCAGCAAAAGCCTTCTTCAAAGTGGAAATAAGCATAGTACGCTAGAAAGCTATATTTTTCGGTCAGATTACGTCCTTTCATATTTCTACTACAGCAACTTAAGGAACATGAGTTCTACCCAGAATTTATCAGCTCTCCAAAGAGAATATCTTTCACATTTCTTCCTTAAGAATTGAGGCATTCAGATACACACAGATAGCATATACAATGTACATAGATTATGTTGTATATTTCGTATATTGAAGCATGTTTTATTATGCTACTCAATCATAATGATAATAATAATCATAATCATAATCCATAATTATCGTAATAATAAAAGTAATTGGAATTAAACAGCGCTTCTTCAACACAATTTTGTGGAAACTTCAGTTATTGTTGTTTGGGGTTAGATTTTTTTGATTCCAATTGTTGTTTCATTGGAATTGTTATATCTTACAAATTACAAGTACAAGCTAAATAAATATGTATGTGTGTTCTGAGTGTGTTATGTATTTGTGTGTTTGTAAATGTTAATATCACTAAAGCAGCGCTCCTGAAATGACGTAACTAAACCCCTAACTAAAGAGCTGAACAGATTGCATTCGGTATTTATTATGAAATTTAATTTTTATTATTATTTAATATAATTAGCATAGGTGTATGTGTGAGTGTGTTGTTGTGTATTAACATACATGAAGTTGTGTGTCTCTGTGTTGTTGTTGCTATCCTTATTTTGCTTTAGTTTGTCCTATGAAAAACATGAGTATAAACTTTTATTACATTTATAACAATTCTCTGATTGACTTTCAATTTTATGCACTTTTGTGAACGTGTGTGTGTGTTGGTTGTGTGTTGTTGCTCTTCTTCTTCTTCTATTAGCTGCTGTTGTTGTTCTTCTCAATTGGCCTAAAAGAAAGGCTTTCATTGGTTTGCATTAAATTGTAACAACTATTTAACACTTGATATATGTATGCTTGGGCCAATATGTTTATATTTATATATATATGTATAGAAATATATCTATTACTATGTCCAGATGCATTGATAATCGTTTTTATTAATATGTACGTATATATGTATTTGTTTTTATGTTTATGTAGAACAAAATATTTAGCTACTGCTTGAATTACAAGTTGCCGAAGCTGCCGTCAGGCTGAAACTGCCTTTAGGCTATTTTTTCTTTATGGAAGTTATGCACAAAACGGATTTATTAACTATATTCAAAAGATGTATTATCATATTTGTAAATTACTTATTGAATTGAGCTTCTGTTTATGTAAATTTACAAACGGCTTATCGAGATTTGATGCGTATGTTTTTTTTCATTAGTATTTCACTGAGGCGCGAAACAAGTTTTTGCATAGCGTTCGTAACGTGTTAAATTCGTGTTTACAATTTTAGCTTTGATTTCAGCTTTAATTGTTATGTTAACAAATGAATTTCCAAGACAAAATTAAAATTTAGTGTTTTCATAGCAAATAAAAGCAACAATACTTATTTGCTAAACTCAAAATAGCGTATATGTATATATATATATATATATAGTATATAGAAATGTATTAACGTAAAAAATGTTTTTGAACTGAACGCAAAAGTACATTCTAAATGCCATGTGTCAAACTAATTGAATTTGTTAGCCAACGGCTTTAACTGGACCACAACTATCCTACACAGTTGCCCAGGCCCGAAACAAGGGCTTTGGCTGGGCGTGGTAATTATAATAGATATATATCATTTTCTTTTCATTTTTTTTTTTTTTTTTTTTTTTTTAGCTGGCTTCAGTCATAAGGGTATTTAGTTTTAAACATTTTGTTGTTGTTTCGTATATAAGAGTTATTAAATGTAGTTTACTTTTTTGTTACTTGTTTTTATGCATGTAGATAAACGATAGAGCTTAAACGTGTACAATTGTTTAACAAACAGACTTCTGCTTCAACTTATGCCCACACTCGTGTGACCTAAACTAAGAGACGTATTTGTATATGTTTCCTATATATTTATATATATAATGTACTTGAATGTAAGTTCCTACATAGCTGCTCTATTTATATGGTTGCTTATTTAATGCTGCCGCTGCTACTGCTGTTCATTTAGCTGCTTGTCTTACATCTGTTTTACATTTGATGACCTTGCGCAGCGTCGCAAAAACTTTTCAAATCTTGTGCAAGCCACTTTGCAGATTATCATTTGACCAGGAGCTCTGCGGTAGCTGCTGCGCCGGCACTGCTACTGCTGCTGCTGCTGCTGCTGCTGCTGCGGACGACGCCGACGCTGCTGACGTGGGCTGCGGTGGTGGCGGTGTGGATGATGAGCTCGGCTTCTGTGGCGTCGCCGGCTGCAAATCGAAGCGTGCATAGAACAGTAAATACGGTGTAATTGTAATTTTGCGCGTCGGCGAGAGCAGCTCCTCGAATTCCCGTTGTGTCATCGCCTTGATCTTATCATCGTCGCACATATACCAAATGGGCTCGCTACTGTTGCCCTGCGCATAGTTGGCTTTGACTCCGCCGCGCCCCGTGCTGCCATAGCCCGTGGGATACGACGCACAGCTGTTGGTGCTGCTGCCATAGCTGAGATTGCTGTTGCTGCCATTCTGCAGGGATTCCTCGCTGAAGTCGCTGTTGCTGGCGGTAGTGCTGCCCGCCATGCTCGCCTGTTGGCTGCAGCACAGGCGCATCGCGCAACAGTTGATGCCTTGGCAGGTGGTGTTCATGCTGAGCTTGCCAATGCCATTGGTGATGGTCTTGCTGGTGAATCCGTTCACTTGCTTCACATTTTTGCTCATGTCGCCGCTGCTGGATGCTTTGTTGCGGCCGAATTTCATTTTCTTCATCAAACTGGTGCCCGACGAGGCCAAAGCCGAGGCAGCCGCTGACACCGGTAAGCTCGCAATGCTGCTAATTCCATTATTGCTCGGCGCCGCGTTCTCATTGCCAGCTGCTGGTGCCGCTGACTGCTGTTGTTGTGCGCTGCTTGTCGCATTGCGTCGATCCTTGGGGCAATTGACGTAATCACTGGCCAGGTCCAAGAAGCAGGTGTACGCTATATAATGGCCCACTGTTAACGTGGCGCCCACGTGCGTTATGACGCTGTACAGCTTGTAAACGTGCAGCTTGTTGGCATCGCTCAGCTCACAGCACTTGGCACAGAAGCAGGGCAGCGTAAATGTTGTGGGCACATAGGTGCTGACCTTCTCCATGCCGCCCGAGAACCGATTCAGTTGGATGACCAGTAGACGGGGCAGCACCTCATACGATATGGAGCGTATGGCCTCAGTGTAGCCCGTACACTGATTGCAGCTGTATTTGTTATCGCCGCGAAAATATTCACGCGTTATGCAAGAGTTCTGAAAAAAAAAAACACAAAGTATATCATCAATGAATCAGTCTTCAATTATTGCATTTCAGCATGAATAAAAATAATGAATGAATGGGAATTAAGCCTGACTAAATCCAATCGTACGCTATTGTACTTAACGATAATTAATGCCTTTGTGATCCATTGAACTTTTTCTATAGCTGATCTGGTTGCTGTACTAACCTGTATATAAGCGCTGGGTTTTTCCTGCAATTCGGCATTATCATAACCCGAAATCGGCACAGGTACTGAGATATCGAGCATGCCTTGCTTCTGACGCGTAATTGTTTCACAGCTCAGGCATTTGGTGGTCAGCACCACAATACCTTCAAAATCAGAGTTGAAAAAGTTGATATTCAGCTCGCGGATGCGCTCCTCCAGACGCATTTTATCCTTGAGTAGACTAGCCGTATTGATTTCATCATCACTGGAATATTTTGCAGGTGCGGTCGATGCAGCTGATGCTGTKGTATTAGCACCAGCAGCAGCAGCAGCTGAAGCAGCTGGAGCACCGCTGAGATCGACTGTGTTTAAATAAAAGAGACTATTGGAGGCGACATGTGTGGTTCCTATGCCACCGCCAGCTGTGGTTGGACTATTATCTTTGAGCGGTGACTGCAATCGTGTCGCCTTTGAGGATTTCACTTCATCTTTTCTCTTTGATTTGCGTGAAAAAAATGATGTTTTTGTTGTTGTGGTACTTTGATTTTGACTAGTTGCTATCGAGCCATTGCCGGAAGCACTCATGATCGCATGATTTCCCACATCAGAGCGCTCCATAGAATCGACCGTATCCGTATCATCAGGATTGGCAATGTAGCTGCATAAACGAAAAGGCAATCAGTCAATTAGTCACATTATTGTCCACCTATAACAGGTACAACTCACCCGTTCGCAATCACTTCCGGACACTCGCCAATGGCCTTTATCAGCGACTGATTCGTTTCGCGTATACAATTCAGCACACACATTAGAAACTCGTGCGCATCCTGTTGTTGATTGCCCTCGAATGTGGCATTGACGTCCTGTATGGCATGCAACAGGGTGTCCGCATGATAGGGCTCACTGGAGTCGGCCATCTCATTGCCATGCAGACTGCTGTACAGATCGTGCAATTTCTCACTGACCGACTGATGTGTTGACTTCTTGCTTCCGCTGCTGGCGGCATTGCTGCCGCTGCCATTGCTGGTGCTGTTGTACGGGTCTGTTGTGGCCAGATCTTTGCTGCTCCAGCTGCGTGCGTGCTCCAATTGAGCACCACCGCTGCCGCTCACGTTGCGGCCCAGCGAGGCGGACTTGGCATTCTGTTGGCGCTGTATCGCCTGCTGCACCACATTCAAATCCTGAATAAGATGATGTAAATTGTGCAGGAAGTGCGGGGCAAAACGCAGCGTATACACCACCGAATTCAGATAGCAAGTGTTGCCGATGTTGCACAGCGTGCCCATAGTGGGCACATGATTCAATGCTGTACCACCACTGCCATTTAGGCCACTGCCGGGGATGGAGCTGCCGCCGCTCGAATTGCTGCCACCGGCTGGGCCATAATACTGATGGCTCTGCAGTTCGGGTGAATCGTTGTCTCCGGTGACGGACGAATTGCCAGCGCGTAGACCAGGGCCGCCAGACACATAGCCATTGGCCACGCGCCGCTGTTCGTCTGTGGATGTTTGATACCGTCGGTCGTATAGCGACATGTTGCAGCTGCGTTTGCGTTTGCGAAAAGCGCGCGACGCCGGTTTACTCGAATCAAGCTCGATTTGAGCCGCAGCGATGGCCGCTGCTGTCTCCGCTGAGAAATTAGAATCGATCTCGATCTTAGAACGACGCTTGCGATTTCTACCGCCGACGTTGACACCACCGCCACCTCCGCGTCGCTTTCTTCCAGTTACTTTCGGTTCTGGCTCCTCTTCAATGCGGTTCCAAAACTCGGGTTTGAAATGTTCTGCAAAAATTGAATCATTAGCAGTTGTCTACTGAATGTATAAGCTCCAGCTGCTTACCTAACTTGATATACTTATGACACTCGGCAGCCTCTGTGGGCGTAGGCGATGACTGTGCTGTCGGTGATGGACTTGACGCTTTCTCCGGTATGGGTGGTAGGTTAACTGTTGCTGGTTGCCTTGATCTTAGGCTGGCACAACGCGAGAGCTCTGCCACATAAACACGTCGAGTACGTTTACGCTTTGGCACCGCCTCAATATCCTTGTGGGTTGTTTGTTGGGGCTGTGCGACCTGATCTACGTACTCTTGTACCTCTGGATATATGACCGAACACGTTGGTGCTGGCAGCGACGGCTCACCGGATTCAGTAGTCGTTGCAGATGTTGTGGAAGCTTTGGGTTTCAGTAAAGTGTTGGACTTCAACAAAATGTACGGATTCTGACGTGGTTTTGGGCTTTTATTGTTGGTGGTGGTGTTGTTGCTGCTGATTGGCGGAAGACGTACTTGTTCCTCTTTCAGCTCATATATTTCATATTCGAGCATCTTTCATTATCCTGTCAACAGGTTACAATTTGAGAAATTCAATTCGAGGATAATATTAATTTATTTATTATAATTCTAATTAAATTTAAGTGACAGTACTATAAACGATCTATTTCAGTAAAGCAATACGAAAACTTTAGGAAAATGAGAAAAAGCAGTGTATAAAAGTTGTCAAAAATTGTACCAGTGTTGTAATACATATACATACATACATTTATACGTGTATATAATTGTTATTGCTACAAAAGCACAAATAGTAAATTATCAGTGATAAAAATTATATGGAACTCGATTTCTTAGAAAGTATATTCTGACATTCGCACGCACATGATTTTGAAATTCAAGTAAGACGGTCACACTGTCTGCTCTCGGTTTTGTGCGCACCCTTCTTGTGGGTCTAACAGCTGATAATGGTTCCTTCTTTCTCTAACTAAGAGAAACTTATTAGACAATTCAATTTCCTTTTTTTTTAAGTGAAACTTTCTGGCAATGCCATTATGAAGATATAACGATCGCACTTATGAACTAAATTTTGTTCGCATGTGCTGATTGAGTGACTCGTCAACTGAAATTCAAAATTGTTGTCCGATAAGGTGATAAGAAATTGTATAATAATCAATAATTAATCTTACGTTCAGGTGTTTATGATTCATTTCAGAAAAACTATTTACAAGCAAAGGTGCTTATATGAATCTGCGAAATGCGCGTGATTAACTCTCCCAAGCTCTTCACTTTTTATTCGGGCTTAAAACTCAAGTTTGTACCAAATGTCCAAGCCTCGAATTATTATTTGTGCAATGAACAGCACCCGACAGGCTAAATAGATTTCCAATTTGAAAATAATAGCGCCTAGCAAATGGGCTAATTATGTAAAGTACAAATCATGGCCGGCTGCTGATGAAAATTTACGGCGACAGGTGGGTAAGCGGGGTTGAAGCGTAGCTTTGGTGAGGTAGGCCAGGGCCAAGCATCGAAGGGGGGCGTTGACAGAGGGCAACAAAGAACAAACAAATATTAATGCGAATGATATGTAGAAGGAGTGAACGTGAACGTGAACATGAATGTGAACGTTAACTATGTGTATTGCTATTGATTTTGTTGCTGGAATGAAGGTCACATGTCGCACAGGCTGCAAATAGAAGTGACGGGAAAAGAGTGCATGATAATGCTAAGGTTACACATTTAGACAGCGCCAATAAGATGGGTTGAGTACACACACACACACACACACACACACACAGCTTCAATTACAGCACGGATCAGCAACAAATGCAAATGCAAAGTAAACAGCTATAATAATAGAAGCAAGATTTGCAAATTTTGCTGGATGCTGTGACATTCATTTTGCAAACGTGTATGGGTGTATGGGTGCGCGTATGTGTTTTTCGTATATGTATGTATAAATGCGACTCACATATTTAGGGAACAACATTTGCGGGCAGTTGCTATGTTCTGTGTAGCATTGCTTTGAGTAAAATAAACAATTTCAATTGCCGCTGCCAAATGTCATGAAATTTCACTTGCAACGTAACGTAGCGCAACGTAAGAATCATACACACACACTCACACATACGCACGCATGCAACGCTCCCCGCACTCGTTAAACTGACACCACACACACTCTAATTTTCACTTTTTTTCACTGCGGCGGTTATCGTGTGACCGTCCAACTCTTTTTGTACCTGGTTAGGAAATCTTTCTTCACTGCTGCACTTCAGGGCATTGTAGCGGTGCTGCACTTACACATTAACATTTAATTTATTTATAGTTTCAAGTGGTTTGAGGCACTGAATTTAGTTAAACTTATGCGCCGTAAGCGTACGGTCGCTCTCGGTGGCAGATGATGTTCATTCGTTGTGCTCTCCGCTCGCTACTCGCTACAATCAACAGAGTGTGCTCCCCACCGTAACATATTTACTCCTCACTTAACAGCGTGACTGTAAAATCTCTGAAATGGACTCCACACATAACATGACATCTAGCAGCCGATGACAAAACTGCGTGTGTCTTCTTCTTTCTCTCCGGCAGAAATCACGATGTCGACTGGAGTAAGTAAAAAATTCGTTTGTTTAATTTGTAAATTATTGTGCAATCCTGCATTAATAATTGCCAAATTGTTGCTCAACAAGTGCAAAAAAGATGGACGCACACAATAAATATTAAATTGAATCTGCAATATGTTTATTTGTAGACACTTTACACTTATCCCGAGAACTTCCGCGCATACAAGGCCCTCATCGCGGCCCAGTACTCTGGCGCAAAGGTGAAAGTGGCCGAGGACTTCAAGTTTGGCGAGTCCAACAAATCGGCGGAATTCCTAAAGAAGTTCCCCTTCGGCAAGGTGAGTCTAGACTTTTCAGTTATTTATATACATATATGGGTGTTGCTTATCGCTTGGCAAAGAGCACAAAAGCCGGCAACGTCAGCAGCTAAAATATCGCATAGCAGATTTATGCGCAAATGAGGTTATTCGCATGGGGAACGTGTGAAATTTTGCCAACTCATAAGTTTTGCTTCTTGGAAGTATTGAAAAGTTTGCGATTATTAACACGTGAGCTGCTGCCAGCTTGCTGACATTTTCAGAATTAACCGGCCCAAAAATATAACATGTAACATTTTGTTTTCTAGGTGCCCGCATTTGAGACCGCTGATGGTAAATACCTGAGCGAGTCGAATGCCATTGCCTACTTTTTGGCCAATGAGCAGCTTCGTGGTGGCAAGTGCCCCTTTGCACAGGCTGAGGTGCTGCAATGGACTTCGTTTGCTGACAACGAAATCTTGCCGGTCTCCTGCGCATGGGTGTTCCCGCTGCTTGGCATTATGCCACAGCAGAAGAACGCGAATGTCAAGCAGGACGCCGAGGTTGTGCTGCAGCGTCTGAACAAGAAGCTGTTGGATGTTACCTACCTCGTGGGTGAGCGTATCACTCTGGCTGACATTGTTGTCTTCGCCAGCCTGTTGCATCTGTACCAGTACGTGCTGGAGCCAAGTGTGCGCCGTGATTATGTCAATTTGAACCGTTGGTTCGTTACCATTCTGAACCAGCCACAGGTTCAGGCTGTTGTCAAGGATTTCAAGCTGTGCGAGAAGGCACTAGTCTACGATCCCAAGAAGTATGCTGAATTCCAGGCTAAGACCGGAACAAAGCAGCAGCAGCCAGCCAAACAGAAGGAGGAGAAGAAGCCCAAGGAAAAGAAGGAGGCAAAGAAGGAAGAGCCTGAGGAGCTTGATGCTGCCGATGAGGCTTTGGCCGCTGAACCCAAATCGAAGGATCCCTTCGATGCCCTGCCCAAGGGTACCTTCAACTTTGATGACTTCAAGCGCGTCTATTCCAACGAGGATGAATCGAAGTCCATTCCTTATTTCTTCGAGAAGTTTGATCCCGAGAACTATTCCATCTGGTTCGGCTCATACAAATACAATGAGGAGCTCTCCAAGGTGTTCATGTCTTGCAATCTGATCACTGGCATGTTCCAGCGCTTGGACAAGATGCGCAAGCAGGCATTCGCCTCAGTGTGCCTTTTCGGCGAGGACAACAACAGCTCCATCTCTGGTGTGTGGGTGTGGCGCGGACAGGAGCTGGCCTTCCCCCTGTCGCCCGACTGGCAGATCGACTACGAGGTCTATGACTGGAAGAAATTGGATCCCAAGAGCGAGGAGACCAAGAAGCTTGTTACCCAGTACTTCTCATGGTCCGGCACCGACAAGGATGGCCGTAAATTCAACCAGGGCAAGATTTTCAAATAAGTTGCAAACACAATATATCTAATCGAGATTCAACATGCAGCAGCGCAGGGCAGCAATCACAATGCCCATTTCTATTTCTAAGTTCCAACTGATTAGTAACGATATATAAGTGAATCGGAAACGTCGTGCTGTATTACCATCTAAATATATATACATAATGTCCTGGTTTGCCCAGCACGCCAAATCTTTTGTATTTCAAATTGTTTTAGCCCTCTGCATTTCTGTTAGAAAACGAATTATGTTTGTAATAAACAAAAAAAAAAAAAAGAAAATTTAATGTCAAACAGATCAGCCAGCTAATAACTTATATACGGGAATTTAAATAAATACGCGTTTTCTACTACACCAAAATGTCTGAATTCAAGGGAATAGCATAGAGGGAGAGTTGATACATAGATAGATCTCGCTACATAAGCACCAATTAATGGTAGTAGAAATCTAATATTGAGGAAGTCTTAAAGCATAAATTGAAGTTTTCTCTGATGAACAATCTATTGCAATTTGCATCATTAATTCCCCTAACTTAATAATAAGCTTGCTTAATTTCTTTAGTATGAATTACATTCATTTAGGCAATCTTTATTGGCTTTCCTTCCAGTTAATTCATTCAATTTTTGCTTACGGTAAAGTAGGTTGAAAACAATCTATAGAATTTAAAACAATTTGTTATTGCAAACTTCAGAAATGTTCGTACTGCCTGCATTTGTATATCAGCAAGGAAATGCTAGAAAAACGCTGCTACTGCGAATCCAGATTTAAATTACTTTCGCTTGATCACAACCGGTCCGACATTGTCGCCCGTGTTCTTATTGTGCTCGCCGTGGCTGCCATCACAGTAGGGCCACTAAAAGGGATAGGGATAATGACATTAATTAAGCAACCTATAGTAACATCGCGTATATGATATACTCACGTTCTTGGTCTTCCAGCAGCGACAGAAAGCGGCCTTATCCGCAATGTTTTCAATGTCAATCATGTCGACAACCTTCGCCTCGTGTTTCCTTATGTTGTCATTGCAACGGCCAGAGCACGATTTACGCTGAGCTGCGGGACAAAGGGCCTGATACGAGATGTAGCCAATGCCGACAACGACGGCAGTGGGTGGAATGAGTGCCAGCCAATCCTTGACTGCAAAAGATAAAATACTATTTCAGAAATACTACAATACTTATTGGACTGTTAGTAGGCCAAATCGTGAAGAGCCAATTTTGACCGGCTGACGGAGTTCGCTATGGATAGTAACATTCGATCCATGTCAAATTATGTTCCACACATTAAACTTATCAATAATTGCCTGTTGTTTATCTATGATGCAGATAAAAAGTTGTTGAGCTTTTCTGTGAGAATTCTCGTTTGTTTTACAAAAACAACAAATTCAGCAATGGCGCTTTTTGACCCAAATGTTGCATAATAAGTTGGCTCAGGTGAGCAGCGCTGGGGTAAGCTTTAAAAATATGCACAAAACATGCTAGTGCATTCTAGATAATCACATAGCATTTTACTAAAATTGATCTTATTTAGCTATGTCATTATAGATCGTGTAAGAATTGACAAACTTTTTTAGAGCGCCCTTTAGTGCAATTCCAATGTTCAGACAAGCGTGGCACTCACATGATAGTTTAAACCAGCCGCCCACGCTGTCGGGCACCGGCAAGCTGGACAAATAATTTGGCAGACTTGTTTTCACTGCATGCGATAATGATTGCATTTTGGCTTTATTTTTTTGTGCCTTTACAAATTAAACACAATTGTAGTACACAAAAAATCTGTAAGCTGCTTGTTTTTATTGTTGTTGTGTGTAGCTGAGTGACCCTAGCTGAAAAACAGAAATATACTGAAAAATACCAAATATATACTGACAAGAATTAAGTACTTTTGACTTCAACAAGAACAATTATTAATTTAAAAAAATATATATCTAATTATAAAATCTATATAGATTGAATATGCTATAGGTTTGTAAGTAAAATTTCACGTATTTTCTTAGTTACAGTCCTAAAAATACCTTTTTTTTTTTGTTAGTTACTTAGTAACAGTTACATCAAGACTGCTCATCTCTATTAGCGCTCATCTCTATCTGTACACGGCGCTTGTGAAATATTTGTTTGCGGCTTTTGTACATCAAATAATATTAACAAATGAGCCGCGCTCCTCTTGACACTTGGACCAAACGCGAACAATTATGCCTGGCATCAGCAGTTTCGTGCAGTGGAGACCAGAATTGGATAACAGTTAGCCGCACACTGAAAACAGTTTGTGGCAATGGAAATTCTCGACCCGCGGATTGGTATTCTCAGAAAAACTGTGCCGTCCAGTATGGCCACCTTCTGGAGACAGTTGAGACCACGAAACGCAAGAAGCGCACCAACGAAAGCAGCGGCTTCTCTTCTCCCGCTACCGTGGCCGTGGAGACTCCCACAGAGATCCTTCTGCGACGGCTAACGGAAGAGCGCCTGCTGGAAGTCAAAACTCAGATGCGCCGAGATCAGGAGCTGTATAGCAAGGTGCAACGGGAAATTGAGGCCTTGCAATCGGATGAAATAACCGAGCAGGAGCTGCAGAGGATGTGGCAGGAAATAGAAAAGGAACAGGAAACGAAGCGCATTGAGGAAATGAAGCTGGAGAATCGAATGCGGGAGCGCGAGCAACGTAAAAAGGATATTGCTGGCAACTGGCGTAACAGAGAAAGTGCAACAGGAAGACGCTCCAACCTAACTGCCGACACAACTTCAGTGGATATGGATGTGGAGGACATTCCAGGTTTGTTTCCAACGAGTCCGGGTTCCATGAATGCAACGCATATATTAATGTAAATCTACTTCTAGCCGCCAACCCAGCTGGGAACAGTAATAAGCAGCAAGCAGCTCCCGCTCCCTTGCTAACATCGCTACTCAAGTCACCCGGCGGCAGCAATAGCAACACTGCCACATCGCCAACAGGCAGCTCCGCGGGCACAGGCGTGGCCCGTGCGACGGCAACGGCGCCAACGATAACTTCGCTGCTGACAAGTGGCGCCAGTGCCATGCCCAGTCAACCGGCAGTCATATTGAAAAGTTCAAACGATCCAGAATTTATGACACGACCCATTAGCGGACCGCCGCCACCTGAGGTGCCCATCACCGAGCGCAGTCCCTCACAGGCTGCGCCGACACTGTCCATGCTGCTGGAGAAGAATAAAGTAGCTGCTGCAGCAACAGCCACTACTAATAAACCGGATGAATCGCCAACAAAGTCCACAGATGCGGAGGCAAACGTCACTGACAAACAGGCTGCAGCAGATCTGGAGGCAATTTTCACCGATGATCCCGCGGAGCAGCATCTGATCGAGGCGTTCTGTAAGAACATTATTGACGACATTGGCATTGAAATGGTCAGCGTTATTGATGAGGAGATATTGAAGAACGTGGACAATGTGGTGTCCCCAGCCGAGGCGCCAGCCAAAGCTGAGGCAGTTGACTTTGAAGAGAAACTGGAATCGCTAAAGCATGACGATTCGGCCAATCGCAAGTCCAGCCAATCGCCAGCACAGCCGAAAACACAGGAAGTGGTCATTGGCTCCAGTGATGATTCCAACGATAATATACCATTGGCAGCCGTGGCATCACAGGAGAGCAAGGAGCGCAGTCAGCCATCAGTTGAAGCCCCAGACATGGCCATAGATGATGCAGAAATAATCGCCGAGGAGTTAAATGAGACAATAACAATTGCCAGCAGCTCAAGTGAGGAGAATGCTCGGGAAGTCCCTACGCCTGTGGTGGCTGATACAACAGAGGCAGTTGAAGCAGCAGCTAGCAAATCTCCTGCAGCAACTGAAGCCAACACACCCGAAGTCAGTAAAAAACCAGAAGAAGCTGCTGCTTCGGATGAGGCAGAAGGGAAAGCTGAGCAAGTCGAGGCCAACAATGAAGGTGAGGGTAATTCAGAAGATGAAAGACTTCCAGTTCAGATTTATTGTATCATTTCATTTTAGTGGCCAAAGAGGAGCCCAGCAAGGAAAGCAGTTCGGAAACTTGCAAGCTCACAGCCGAAACCAGTACAGAGCTGAAGACGCCTGCACCCACTGCCGCCAGTTCAGTGCATGACACGGACGAGGAGTCTTCTTCGCTGACAGAAAGCAGCAAAGCGGATGAGCCCATCCGTAATGCGAAATCCAAGCAGCATACGGAAACCAAGCCCGATCCAGAGCCGAGCAGTGGCACACGACAGACGCCACCCAGCGGCTTTGGGTTATCCAGCACACCTGCTCCTGCGCCCCTTTCTGCACGTGCGCCACTGTTGCGTAGACTGCCGCATCGCGATCGCTCAGAGAGTCCCATGGTGGATGATGACACGACAACGGCCAGCGATCATTCCACAGCCAGATCCAGTACACGGCGTCGCTGCTCCTCCACTCCTGTCATAGACAGCATACCCAATTCACCGGCGTCCAGTGAGCACACTGACGATCGTCGCGAGACGCGTGGCGCCTCCAAGAAGCTCTTCCTCAGCATTTACAGCACGCTGCAGGAGAGCAAACATGCGGCTCCCTTTCGGCGCGCCTTTAACGACGAGCATCCCCACAAGAAGGCAGAGCTGTGCTTGCGCCCCATGGACTTGCCCACCATCAAACGTAACATCGACTCCGGCCATCTACGCAGCATTAACGAGCTGCAGCGGGATGTGGTGCTCATGTGCCAGAATCTGTTGCTGGTCTACAAGCCGCACACCACGCAGCACAAGACGGCGCTGCTGTTCATGCAGGAGTGCCGCTCGCTCAAGGAGTTCGCGGCCATCACTCACATGCAATCCGACAACAGCTCCTCCAGCAGCAACAGCAGCAAAGTGGAAAAGGAGAAGGAGAAGGAAAAAGAAAAAGAAAAGGAGAAGGAAAAGGAGCGAACGCCAGCTGGCAACAAAGCACGCAGTGGTTCGCGCAAGAGCCAAAGGCATCATTAGACTAAGTTTATTATTATTAATATTATTTTTCCATAATCATGTCAATAGAACTGAAACCCATATATACTATCAAACCTGTATAATCCATGGCAGCAAAGTGAGGCCACAATATATTTTACATAGACAATATAATTCTGGAACCCTTATATATTAATCTGTCTAATGCTAAGCTATAAGCCTTTCATACATATTAATAGCAAACCTAAATTAACAAGTTTGTACACTACAAACATACAATAGCCGCTGGTCTTATAATAGTTAATGATATAAATGATAACTTATCCAAATCAATAAAAAAAAAAAAAAATTTGAAGAAAAGAAAAGAAAAGAAAACCAGTTTACAAATACTGATTAAGTATTATCAAACGATAGCCGCTGCTCTTATAATACTTTTAATAATAATAATATACATGAATAATACGATAGATATATTCTTATTAGCTTGGATAATATTATAAATATAATACAATAATATTTTAAAAAGTAAATAAATTTTATTTCAATTGATACAATTAATAATCGTAATTCATTGATTATTAATATCAATTAAAATAAATTTTGTTTTCTTTATATAATATTTTTGTATTGTTTTAAAAAGTTATTTAAGTGTAATCCCACGATAGCCGCTGCTCTTATAATGCACTTAAACTTATGATATAAGACACATGGTTATATTATTATCAATATAATCTAATCAATACAATAATAAAAGCCAATTTATCTTAAGAGATAATAATATTCAGAGAAATAATTGCTAAAGAACTTTTTTATCGTAATCACACGATACATTAATATATTTGGATAAGTTAATAAAGAATATATTTTATTAACCTATGCAAATCCATGCAAAAATACTGTTAGGCAAACAATTGATAATAAAAAAATAAAAAAAAAAACAATTGATAATAATCATTAATGAAACAGGGTTTTAAATACTGTTTCTACATTTTAAGTTATAAGTCTTTAAGATATGCTATTTATAAACATAATAGTGATTGTTAAGAAAACTAGATGATGAATAGATATGCATCGAATCGACTTAACAATGCAGTTTCAAGGTTGAATACTACTCTAGCAGACATTTATCAAATAGATATCGTAATGCTATAACAATTGGAATGACTTTAGTAGCTTAAGATGTATAACTTTATATAAACTTTTCTAAATTTCAGGTTTTACCAGAAATAAAATGATACGTTTAAAGATACCAAGAGACAAATATAATATAAATCAAAAGAAAAACTGCATGCTAAAAGTGAACTCTATACGATCTTTATATTAAATAAAGACAAAATAAACACAAATATAATATTATATAATAATATAAAAATATGTAAATATTTATTTAGTTTTTTATAGAGGCAACTTTATTGACAGTTCACAGCTATAAATTCATGGATCTTTTATATAGAAGCTGATTGCTTGAATGGAATTTTTGTTTACAATAGCTTGTCTTAAAAATATGATTACATATATGTATACATATTACATATATACAAATGATTACATACATATATACAAAATATTTATATACGTATATATATGTTGATCAATATGTATCTACATATATATTAATTGCCTCTAGTAACAAGTGTTCAATACCTAACCAAGAATATCATTCTTATTATAGACTCTACATTACATCAATCCACGTCAATCAAAGAATATCAAATTTTGTAGTCGTCGGGAGCGCGATGAGTGGCAAACGGCGCGTCGATGCGGGCAATAGAATTTGCGCAGGCAGCGCGAGAGTCGCAGATCGCATTGACACAAGCGAGCCGCACAGGAGTCGGGGCCACCCCATTCGCCGTGATCGATGGCGCACAGGGGCTTGCCCCGATAGCATTTCCACACATAGGGCACAAAGTACTCGAGGTAGGAGATGCAGTTGCTCTGGCCGTAGCACTTGTCGTGCAGGCGGCAACAGCGATCGATGCCATCGTTGGGCACTCCATGACCGCCAAAGCCGCAATAGCAGCCGTAGCCCTTGTAGATCAACGGATCACAGTTCGTGGAGCACTTGATCATGGAGTAGAGCTTGGCCACATCCCGTTTGCCTCGATCACTCGGCGGTCCGGTCTCATTACGCAATGACCACTTCATGGAGTAGCCAAAGGGAGCGTTGGCGCGCGCTATATACACATTCTCTCCATTCAGCAGATCCTCGAGCTGCGCCTCCGCCGGATTGGACGTTATCACACGTATATCCGTCACATGTCCATCCAGCTTTTGGGTCTTCAGATTCAGCGAAATTTCGGACTCTGGATAGCTCAGCTGTTGCTGTGCTGGCTCCCTGTGTGGGAAGATCTTCGATGGTTAAATGATTCCTTCTACATATACCAACCAATACCCACTTGTGTATCTGCTCCAACCATGTCTGCTGCTCCTGCAATTCACCGGTCCAGCCGGGCAAACCCAGCTGCTGCCATTCCTCCAGATTGGACTTGATTGCCGCTACTTGAGGCATTGCTGTGATATTGGGAAAGATTGGTTCCGCAAAGTCGGAGCGCTGCATTGTCAACAACTCAAAGCCGTCGCGCTGCCCGTTGGGCATTTTGAATGTGAAGGTTGGATTCGCTTGATGCATGCTCGGTCCATACATTTCCGGTATTATGTGCTCCAGCAAGACGCTGTCATTGGTGACGCCCCTGAACGCACTCCATATGTCATCCACAACCCTGTTCGCCTGACAGTGCACAGCCAGGAGCAGCACCAAACCCACCTGTACGATTGCCCACATCATGTTATGCTCAATCAGACGCAGAGGCAGACGCGGGATTTGTGCGATCCGTCCGAGTCGAGCGGCAATCAGAAATTGAAACTGGTGCGCCAGCGAAATGCGGTAGTTGGCCATTGGCCGCTAAGTACCCAACAAAAGAAACCAAAACAAGACTGCTGCGCTCGAGAAAGGCCGAGCCAGAGATACCCTGTAAACAATGGTAAACGTAGTATATACAATTTGAATAATAGACATTATTCATATAGTTTTTTACCATCTCAAAAGGCAGCCTTGAAAATCAAACAGATTCCACTGCCTATATAATCCAAATCCAGTATCCATTAATCCTTAAAGCGAATAGCCTTAAAGCATCGATATACCCCTTAATCACTTTCACTGGGTATCATAAAAATGAAGCATAAATTGTTCAAAATCGTGTTAATAGCAATAATAACAATGGCCAGCAGCGACGCCAACGCCGACGCCGACTGCGATGACGGCGCCGACGGATTTGGTGTGCGAGAGGTAAACGCATAAAACCAAATACACAAACTGACAGTGGCACAAATACGACGCCGAATCCAGCGTCGTGGTAGGTGGGTCAGTAACCGTAACCCACATTGCGTAGACGCGCGAAAAGTTACAGCAAGCTCAGTGGGCGTGGCAAGTTAAGGCGAAGGTGAGCAGCAGCAGCAGYCCGCGTCGAGTTATAGCCAAGATCAGTTCATGGTCAACGTTTAGGGCTTTTAATTACCGCGAGCTGAACTACTTAGATAGCTCGCAAGGGGGTGGGTGGATGATCACTTGGCCAAACGAAATTGGCATTAATGTGCGCAGCTTGTTTATGGTCTGCTTGTAAATACATACATAGCTAGAGTCATGCGCTCATACAAATACTCTCATAAATATGTTGTTTATGTTTTATCTGTCTGCAATTACACAGGTAATTTATGGCGGCCGCCTGCAACGCCTTCGTTACGTTGGTTGCATGTTACGTGTGAGAGCAAAAGCAAAGCATTCGCATAAGACACATCATACTTTCAAGTCGAAGTCGAAGTCGAGCGCAAATCAAGGTAAACATGAATGAAAATGGTCATGAGCAGACACATACGCATATATGCATATCGCAAATACAAGTGTTATTTAAATTATAGATTAAATTAATTAACCGCAAGCCAATAATAATAGCTAATCAGCGCTTTAATTAAACTGAATTATTATCAAAATTACTTTGGCGCGCAAAACTTGTTTCAGGTTATTGAATCGGTAAACAAATCGAGTATGCTGTTATCGGCTGAATCGGTTCATCAGTGCTGAAAAGTATCACAATCAGTTACTTTACAGCACTTCTTGAAGTTATCGATAACTATCGCCTTATTTGAATTTCTTAAACAGATAATTCAAATCCTAATTTGTTTACATATTTATCTATAAATCTGCAATCTACAGCAGCTGCATTTTTGACTATTAAAGCATGCACCCTGCCTCTGGGCTGTTCATATATGTATATGCCCAACGTACTTCCTCTCGCTTAGCACGCACCACTTAAGTTTACGTATCAGAGACAGACAAAACGCTTCAATAAATTGCATACATATTTTATTTTGATTCAATAAATCTGATTACTATTCTGGCTCGTCCGGCCGAATGGTCTGTAAACATAGCACAAGTGTTTGCTGTAGCATCATCCTCGCGGGTAAACGGAAATGCCACGCATTGGAACAAGCATTTTCCAGCTGCCGCTGCCGCTGCCACTGCCACTGCAGTAGTCGTTCTGCTGGAACAGTATATCCAGTAAAGACGTCGCTGACCAGAGTTCAAGCTGCGTTGTTCTGCTTTGCTTTAATCGCTGCATTGTCATCTTCTGTGCTGCTGGCAGCGATCGACCGACCGACCGACCGCTTACTTCTGCTCGCCTCTTTTCTACTTGCAATTGCCAGCATAGAGCTTGTTGTTCTCCTTCTGGTTATGGCAGTCGTAGTTGCTGCTGCTGCTGTTGTTCTTGTTGCTGTTATTGTTTGTGGGAACGAGCACACAGCACAGCACAAAGCTATTTTCAAATTGGAAAGGTTTTGCACTTCGCCAACGCAGTCAGCTCTCGGTAATTCTTTTTGTTCGCTTTGTTTGCGGCTTCGCTGCCAACGTCGTCGCCATCGCCGTTGCTGCTGCTGCTGTTACAGCCAACTTCTTTCTCGTTAGTTTGTTATTTTAACTATTATATCAATTAGTTTCAACGTTTGACGGCTCCGCCAGCCTCAGCTCATTGTAGCCGCGGCTGCAGCTAGATTGTGGATGGAAGGAGGAAATGAAAATGGGAAAACAAGAGGAAGGTAGAGTAGCGGCAAATACGAAGTTCGAGGTTGAATTTTGCGCCGTTGCAATTCACTGCGCTTGGCTTTCACGCTGGGGTTGAAACTCTCAAAGTGTGCGTGTCTATGTGTATGTGTGTTTGTCCGTGTACCTACAAATAGCAGCACTCTCATTTTGAAAATATGTAAATAACACAACAATCGTTGCTTTTTTATTGGCCTTCCAGTGCGTTGGCATTTCAGTAGCGTGAAGAAGGAAATAGCGATCAGGGTTGAAAGGTGTTCCGGGCCTCGTTTGAGAGCGGCAACTGAAATTATACTTGGAGAAATTTAAATGCGGCAGGTGTTACAGTTAGACGCACTGTTAGCTGCGTCGCTTCGCAGCACTGGCTAAAAGAATAATACAAAAATAAAAAAGCAAAGAAAAGTTATTTTTGGTTGGCCTATGTTTCAATACCCTTGCAAAGCAGACAGAAAACAAGTTTTCATTATGATTTTAATTCTTAATATTATTTTTAATTATTAGACAT